CAAGCATAGTAATCATGTCACGGTCCAGCTTATATATTCATGGCAGTGCCGATCAACCTAGCAAGTTGCAAGAGATGGGGATTCTCCTCATCTACTCCTGTTTATAAGGTTTCAACAAACGTACAGAGACAGAGAGACTAAGCATTTGTCATTAGTTTCTTGTTCTTACATTATCTCTTCTTGTTGTCGAGTAATTCAAAGCAAGGATATGGAGGACTGGAGGCGCGGCGATGGCGGACTCGCGGTGATGGAGGACTGGAGGAGGGTTGCGGCGCAGCGGGTGTTGACTGATGTTGTTGCCCGGGCGGCGCGGCGATGGCGGACTGGCGATGATGGAGGACTGGAGGAGGGTTGCAGCGCGGCGGGTGAAGGGAGGAGGCGCGGCGAGTGGAGGGGCGATTGGAGGGAGGCGGCTGGGCGACTGGAGGGAGGCGGCGACCAGCGAGGCGATTGGAGGGAGGCAGAGTCGTTGCCGGATTGGAGGGAGGCGATTGGAGAGGGTCTGAGGGAGGATGGAGGCCAAAACGTGAAAACGAGACGAGAGGCTCTGAGGGAGGATGCTAGGGTTGGGTCGTTTCAGCTTGCCAAAACGGGGTCGTATTGTCAGTCACGCATCGGCTAACCGCCTAACCACAAACAGCCTCCGCCAACCGACCGCCTCCTGTTATTTTCGGTTTCCAGTTAGCCGCTAACTGGCAGTTAATGGTTAGACCGGCCGGTTAGCCGCTAACCGGCAACCGAATTGACAGCCCTAGGAACAACGTAGCACCATAGTGGATGGGCAAAAGAAAAGCTAACTGAATATTGCAGAGCCCTCTCTTTCTTGTACGAAAAAGCAACATTTCTGGTGAAATTTGGCGATTCCACTCAATAATTCGACTGCACTGTTTATTAAATAAATGTTGTTAGAACCGAATCGGAGCATGACCCGGTAATGCGAACGGCTCGCACTTTAGTGGTCCAACCGGCATTTGACAGTTTAAAAATCGTTAAAGAATCGGTACCTATTAAACGTTATCAGTATAAATAGTGGACATTCTTAATCAGAGCTCGTCTCTTTCCTTCGAAATTGTGAAATGAAAATAAGAATTCAAATGAAAATAAGAATTCAGTTTGAGAGCCCGACGTTTTTGGTTCATTTCAATTTTCAATTTTCTGCAATTTTTTTTATTAAATTTAACAGCTGAATGGCAAAAACCGGACGAGCGGCTCGATCGGCTCGAGCGGTTAACCACCTCGGCCGCTTATCAACCGCTACATAAAACCGGAGAGACTTTTAAATTGTTCCGAACCGATTTTGTGACCGGGTGGCGGTTTTACCGGTCGGGCCGAGCGGCTTGGCTCGGCTTTAATAACACTTATTTAATTTAATAAAGAGATTGATTACAAAGCTGCAGGTAGCATGATAACGATAGATTACAAAGTTCACAACACAAGAGTAAGGAATGGGACTACCTGCAATAGGCTGGCTGCAAGAGTAAGTAAACTGGCCGATAGTAGATTTCTCCAGCGGGGTGCTTACGGAGCCAGTAACAATCGACGGAGAGAACCATAGAGGTAATGGAGAAATCATCACAGGGTTATCATGCAAAGTGGTGGTAGAATAGAGAGGCATGACCTTTTGAGTGGCGAGGTTGTAGACGCCCATGTCATGACCTCCATGCATCCGCCCTCGATGGCTGTCAATGATATCGTCCGTGAAATAAATGGAATTGGGAACTACTCCAGGATGCGCTTTGGTGTGGACAAAAGTTGCAGAGGAGCTGAAGCCCAAGAACAAGGCAAATTCCCCTATACTGTTAAACTCATCCCATCCTATGACATCCTTCTTCATCTTGAAAACTTTGAACTTCTCAGCCCAATAAGTTCTGGCGGTGTTACTTGGTTCACAATCATCATCCGAATTGCTGTCATCATCGCTCTCGTCAATGTCCATCCATTTCGTAAATCTAGATACCATCACCAGCTGATCGTCGTCATCTCCGGTAACAGCAGCTGGACACACAACCAAGTATTGATTGTCGGCATAGTTGTAACCATACCGATTGGAATGAATTTCAAGAAAGAACGACAAGGTCGGGTGATGTGGGTTAGCAGAAAAATCACACACCAGAATCCTTCCTCCCCAGTCAAGAGCATAAAATCGATCCCTCCAAAAAACCACATCCACGAAACCAATCTTGTCCGTTCTCCTCCTCGTGAGCAACCAGCTTCCATCCTGCCTCAATTTCAGCAGGCCTGCAGAATGCCAGGCGATTATCCTCGGTGTTCCAGCGGATGGCCATCACGATGCATTCCTGCGAGGTGGGCTCAGCAGATACAACAACCCTCTTCAGGTACTTCTTCAAGAAGAAGTTCTTGCTAATGGATTCCTCGGAACCATCTGCCATTCGAAGCAGGTACTCACCCCGGGCCTTCTCAGAGCGGTAGGCCAGCACATCGGGGAAAGATGTGGCGGGTGGAAGAGGGATCTCGGTCTTGGTAAGAGGGTTCAACAACGAGATACCGGGCGTTTTATCCACAATGCACAGCCAGCCCATTGTGGATCCGCGGTACCTTTTGCCTTGCAGGCCCTGGGGGAACTCGATGTGGTGAAATTGATGCAACGCCACGTTGTAAAAGCAGCGGCAGTTCTCGGAGCCTTTGCACCCGGTCACCGGCGTGGCCACCGCAGCCAGGGAGTTGGAGATGGTACTGCACATCGACATTTCCATGTTCATGTTGTTGCTCCTGCAAAACGGTAGCATCAGCCACTGTGTGAATGGGGGAAACCTGCGCTGCTGCTCGGCCAATAGGGCTCGCCTCCATGGATTACAAACAGCACGGGATCTGATGACATCCTCTAATGTCCTCAAACAGTGCCCGATCCTAGACAGCAGGTCCTCCCCCAATTCAGACCAATCCTTCAATCCATCAGCCATTCGAACTATGATATATGCCAGTATCTTCTAAAGCATAACTCTTTCTTTCTCGGCCTATTTATTGAATTCGCTCTCTTTTCCGATTCCGAAACATAATAGGGAAAGGGATATCCCCTTCTGGCCCGGATTTGAGATTCTTACTCCTACTGTATGAGAAACGGAGTCTTACCGCCACCATGGCAGCTGCGCCGGATTTCTACCTGCCTTACCCAGATCCGTATGTATCACCGTCGAATCAAACTCTGGAATCCTTCTGAGTAGAAGTGAATCTGAACCTTTTCATAGCCTTTTATTGCCCGAGAACAGAAACCAGTTGTAAACTAAAAGCTAAAAATCCAATCTTGCTCTGTTTTCGCTCGGCTCTACTCTGTGTCAGTCGGTGTCTTCGTTCTAAACTGAAACTCAAAACCAAACCCTGGTGGCGAGGGAACCGATATGTTTCCCAATTTCATTTTTTTATTTCTCGTTAGCATGGTGGTGAGGTGACAACTGTTGGCACAATCTCCTCTCGGCTTTCTCCAATCCACCATTTTTTTTTTAAAGAAATTAAGGGTAGATTATGCAAATGATGTATTACGAGAATGTGTGTATTAAATGTTAGGGTAAATATAATTTAATAGCCAAACCTTTCATCTTAAAACAAATAATAGCCAAATCTTTTTGAAAACAAATTATTAGCCAAAACGTTAACTTTCCGTCCGGTCAACTGTTAGTTAACTCTGACGTGGTAAACAACTGTACACATCAGCTCATTTTTACTGACGTGGCAACTAATAAAAATAGAGATTATTTATTTTGCAAATTAAATAAAAAGATGAGAAATGTACAAAGCTTTATCCGTTCACTCTCTCTCTTCATTCTCTTCCACCCGTTCTCTCCGTTAGACTCCCTCTCTCTCTCTCAAATACGAAACCCCAATCCGGCGAAACCCAACCCCGTTGCCACCACATAACCAAATTGAACGGCGCTGCCTTCATCCCTCCTCATGCGAGCGCCGGAAAATACGAGCTTCACCCGGTCGTGCATTCCCTGTCCGGAGCTTTGGCGATTGAGATTTTGAGCGGCCAACAGAGGTGAACAAAAGGGGGGAGAGTTTGACTTTGAGATTTTGAAAAAATTGATTCTCAATTAGAGCTCACAAATGCCATGGTAGACCCTCCACCGCCATTCCTTGAATTCCTCGTAGATTTGGTCACCACTCACCATCTACCGCAGCCCCCCGCCTCCTCCCGCCGTCACATCCGGAGCTACAGTTCATCGTAAAATCTTTATTGGCCTTTCGCCCAAGCTTCCTCTGCCTCTCCTTCCACCTCCGTCGCACCCCTATAGCCATTATTATCAGCCAACACTCCAATTTGTCCAATCTACTCTCTCCTCTTCCGTTTTTTTTTGTCTCCCTCGACGATCCGGCGAAAGGAAAGGAGAGGGGCAGTGGAGGAGAAGCCTCCTCCGACGGTGGCGACTAGGGATTCTGGCCAGGCCAAGGTAGATAAACAGGAAGCGGTTGCGGCGGCGGGAGAGGACGGGGCGGTTACCGATTGTTGTCGACGAAGTGGGGTTACATGGTTTTCGATCCCAGTCGAGATTCGTTTGAGGATGTGCCAAACCCACAGTCGATTCACCGTCGCTCATTGTCAGTTAGGGATTAACATCCCTAGCCAGGAGCGAGGTTGTTGGTAGGTCTATTGGAGGAGGCCGTAGGTTGCAAGGAGAGGATTTGTCGAGAGAATTTCCAGGAGAGAAGGTGGTTCGGACGTTTGGTTGATGTCCCTGATGGAGGAGAAGAGAAGGGATAAGAGTTAATAAAAATTGTTTAATTATTTTTTTTCCAATATTATGGCCATGTCATCAAATTTTTATGAGTCAGCATTTCATTTGCCACGTTAGAGTCAACTAATAGTTGACCGGATGGAAAGTTAACGGTTTGGCTATTAGATTGTTTTTAAAAAGATTTGGTTATTATTTTGTTTAAAATGAAAGGTTTGGCTAATAAATTGTATTTACCCTAAATGTTATGTGTATACTAAGAAAGTAAGAATGTGTGGGTTTGATGGATTATCCTAAGGAACTTTGATCGAAATGCTCTCTGATATTACTCTCTCCGATAAGCCGTCGACGCAACCCTTTTCTCAGACAGGACGTCCGCCGGATACCGGACAACAGCAGTTAAGCAACGTCCCGTCCCCGCTTGCCAACCCAGCCGATTTCCCTGCCCTCAACTACAGAGCAGCGCTGGCCGGCCAATCACAAGATACCAGATCAAGGGCGAATCAGTGGACCTACGTAGGAGAACACGATCTGGAAACGGGATCCTTCGTTGGGGAACCAGAACTGAAGATTTCTGAAGCCTTCAAAGAGAGACTATGCGTGCCATGGAAAAAGACCCTAGTAGTAAGGTTGCTGGGCAGGTCGGTGTCCTACACTTATCTCTGTGCCCAACTCTAGTGGAAATGGCGCCCTACGGGATCTCTGGATATCTTGGACCTGAACAATGATACTTTTTTGGCTACATTCAGTAATGATCAGGACTATCTTAATGCTCTGACCGGCGGCCCCTGGGAAATTCTGGATCACTATTTGGTCGTTCATCAATGGTCCCCGACCTTCAGAACCTCCGATAAACCACACAGGTCAGTTGTAGCATGGGTTCAGCTACCTGAATTACCAGCACACTTTTACCATAGAGAGGTTCTTTTCGCTTTGGGAAATCTCCTGGGACGGACGGTCAAACTTGATTATCACACGGAGAATCTTTTGCGGGGAAAGTTTGCAAGAATTGCAGTCGATCTTGATATGACGAAACCTCTGGCGACTCGAATCCGTTTGGATGGTCATTGGCAACAAGTGGTCTATGAAAATCTCCCCCACATCTGCTACGATTGTGGTCGAATCGGGCATACAGAAGAGGTGTGTCCCAAGAAATTAACGACCATTGTTCCGGCATCTACCGGTGAAGCACAAGCAGACATGGCAATATCGCCGGCGGCACCAGCGTCGGAACCCCTCGCCGGCTATGGGCCATGGATGCAGGTTGTGCGGAAAAATAGGAAAACCAACAAAAAAGGCAACTCAAATCGGGAAAATTTGGAAAGAAATCAGAGCAACAATCCTGCTAAAAGCGGCAATCAAGGGCGTTCTTCGCCTGGTAAGAATCCATCACAAAGGGTGGAGAGCAAGCCCCGCCCCAACGGTCAGGAAAGAAAAGGTAAATCGACAGTAGTGCAGGATCAAAAAAAGGGAACCAAAGGATTGCAGAAAGGGAAAGTGAAAGAAATTGGGGAGGCCTCAACTTCGGAAGGGCGAAAGGATTCAAATAGCCAAGAATGGCGCGTTGTTGGGCCTCTTAAAGATCCACCAGTAGCTACGGCCCAAATTAAGAGTAAGATGGCGGATAAGGATATGTCAATGGGCCAAACTCAAGCTAGCCCGAAAATAGATCCGAAGCCGGATGCTGGTAAACAACTTCCTTTGCTACCCACTCCGACCCGATCGGAGATTGACAACAGCGAGAACGTCGACCCTAACTCGGGTGCCGTCTCTGTCCGACAGCACTACCGAAAGAAGACCAAACCACATTCCCCTCTGAAAGAGCACTTCTCTAAATTATCCATCCAAAGCACGATGAAGAATACCCAGGGCACCAGAAACAACAAGAGAACCTCCGCCAAGAGTGGGAAAGCGGCCACTTTTGGGATTACTCCCCAATCCATTGAAGACTTCATCACCCAGACACGGCAGAAGGAGGAGGAATTCCAAAAGCTCGCCATGGGAGCTAGTAGCGACGTCTCGATGAGGGAAGAAATTGATCAGAGCATCCTCGGGACGGAGAGTGCGGGGACGGAACCTCAGCCCCTGCTTACGCTTGCTGGATGACGTTGAAGCGTCTACCCAGACTTCCTCAACCCTCTTTTATTCTAATGATCAAAGCAGTCAAAATCGGGATTTTACCTAAAATCGAAAACTGGGGTAAAATCGGGATCGTAAAATCGTAGGATTTTAAGTTCCATATAGAATCTAACATATAATCATATTAATAAGGTAAACCATTACTAACACAAAGACAAATAACATTGAAAATGATAATTCTCAAGATTAATGTTCCAATATCATCATTTTAATTGTTATTTAATGCGTAACTAAAATAATTCACGAGGAAATGATAGAGCTCATGGAGCTTGGCTCTTGTTTTTCATGTTGTGTTTAGGTAGTTTAACTCAAAGTAGTACTCCGGTCAGGTTAATTTCAACATTGTCCATTAATCATGATTTAAAACTATTAATATATGAACTCTAATTGAATAATTAATGCTAGTGGCTTGGCAAAAATGTATTCACTAATCAATTAATGAGTTAATAATGATATTAATTCTTTCGCATGTACAATATTAGGAAAACTATTTTGCCGATGAGTTCAGCGGGATGAAGGGAAAGAGAATGACCGAGCCATAATTTGGTTTTTTTTTTTCTTTTCAAATGTTTTTAATAGAAAAAATATTGGAGAAGATTCCCATCATTGCCCTTTCTGCCAAATCAGTTCCGCTTTTTTAAAATTTGTTCAAACAGCCTATTTTGTTCTCATACGATTTTAATCCCGATTTTAGTAGGATTTTACGATTTTAACGATTTTAATCCCGGTTTTAAACGATTTTAAGGTCCACCGATTTTATAGTAAAATCAGGATCGGAATTCCTAAGTAAAATCCTAAAATCTTACGATTTTAAGATCAAAATCCCGATTTTGACTGCTTTGCTAATGATTAGTATCTTCTGTTGGAATTGCAGAGGGGCCAAAAGCCCTGAGTTTCATGCTATTTTCTCTGATTACATTAGGCGTTATAACCCGAACATTGTGAACTTAGTCGAACCCAGGATTAGTGGCAAGGAAGCTTTGAATGTCATTTCTACTCTAGGGTTTGACAAATTTGAAATTGTTGATGCTGTGGGCTTCTCAAGGGGAATTTGGGTTCTTTGGGATGAAGCCAAGTTCTCCATTTCTCTTATGGATAGCGACACCCAATTCTTACACTTGCGTTGTTTTGATATGCAGGATAAGGAGGAGGTGATCCTAATTGCGGTTTATGCTAAACCAAATGAATATGAGAGAGCACCTTTGTGGAGTTCTTTGCGCTGCCTGGCAGCAGGGGAGACAAGACCTTGGATCCTAGTTGGAGACTTCAACTCCATTCGCTGTCCTTCGGAGAGACGAGGAGGTGCACCCTTTAATGATCAACGTACTTACCACTTCAACTCCTGTATTGAGGATTGCAATCTGATCGATTGTGGCTATTCCAGCCCATGCTTTACATGGACTAATGGCCGCCTCTCTCAAAGACTGGATCGCGGTTTATGCAATCAGGAATGGCTGGTGAAGTATCCTGACACCATCAACTCTCATCTCCCTCGTCTTCGTTCTGACCATAGACCGATCCTCATCCGGAATAAGATTTCCCAGCCGACGAGGAAAGTGAGGCCCTTCCGTTTCTTGGCTCCCTGGTTAGCTCATGAAGATTTCCACCACACTGTCCAGAGTTCTTGGAAGCAGGGAGTAAGCTTTCTGTCCTCTCTTCAGGATCTGCAAATTAAACTCTGCACTTGGAATAGGGAAGTCTTTGGGAATATTATTCAAAGGAAGAAGGCTCTCACTAAAAAGCTCGGCGATTTGGAGTCTAAAAATGACAAGAGTCCCTCCCCACCCGCTACCTCCCACCGCTCCATCCCGCCGCCCTCCTCCCCTCCCTCCTACCTCCCATCACCCTCTTCCCCCCACAATATCCCTTCCCTACGCCGCCCTCTTCCCCTCCACTCCCTCACATGATCTCTCTCTCTCTCTCTCTCTCTCTCTCTCTCTAAAAGTACAGGAGATCGAGGCTCTAATTAATTGGATCTCTGGATGTTTAAAGGTATGTATTTTCGTGAAATAGTAGTGATTTTTCCCGTAGTGGTAGTGTTTTTTCGCATTGGTATTGTTTATGGTGCATTGGTATTTATCATCATGTATTGGTATTGATTTTGTCGCATTGGTATTGATTTTGTTGCATTGGTATTGTTTTTGTTGCATTGGTATTGATTATCATGTAATGGTATTAATTTGCATGTATTGGTATTGATTAAATCTGCAATGGTATTAATTTTTTGTGGAATGGTATAGATTTATATTGGTAGATTGTTTATATTGGTAGTTTTCGTGTAATGGTATAGATTTATTTTTGCAATGGTATTGATATTTTTCAAAGTGGTAGTAGTTGTCTAATGGATTGGTAGTGATTTCGTATTTTTTTTCTTTTGCAGAAAGATTGAGAAAAATAAGGAAAGGGGATCTGGCTGGAGATTATGGAAGTGAGAAAGAGAGAAAATTGTAATTAATAGATTCTTGTAACTAACTAAAATGTATTTTATTAAAAAAATTAATTAATACAATTTATTTTTCATACCCAATTTACCCTTAGTAACCACGGTGATTACTACTTTTGTAGTAATCACCGTAACCTGTCCCATTATGTAAATGATGTATCATGAGAATGTGTGTATAAAATATTACGTGTATACTAAGAATATGTGGGTTTGATAATTGATTGTTTGGAACCCATATAAGAATGCATGAATTAGAATTTAAATGAACTATGAATACATGGATTATGAATACATGCATTTCGTTACTACATCAAATCAAAAGACGTTGTATTCTCATAATGCATGTATACCGAGAATACAACATATAGAATCGGAGGTTCCAAACGAGCTCTAAGAATTTAGCAAGAGATGTGCTATTTGTAGCCCTAGAGCTAGAAAGGGCTTATTTGTAGTCCTAAAATTAAAAATGTTTTTTTTTTACAAAAATTCAGAAACCCTAAATCCCTCAAATATCCCAACCATCTGAGGCGACCAAATTCGCCTGAGACGTGTTGCCGGTGACGACCACCAAAGATGACTCGTTGGAGACTCCAACCGCCGCCAACCCTTGCCATTGCCGCCGCCCGAAGCCAACCATCACCGACTAAGAAATGGCCAGAGACGTGCCAAATATAAGCCCGACCATACCTGTGACGTATGAAATACGCGTCCGCTCAAAGCATATGACATACACATAAGGATTTTTATAAGGGGTATTAGTGTAAATTTAGGGCTACAAATAGTAATTCAGCTTCCAGAATCCTCCCCTGCAACGCTAGCTGATCCTCCTGTTGATAATGGTGGCAGTGGTGAAAAATCTGAAATCTCCATCTTATTCCCAATACCTTAGTTATTTTTGGATCGTTTTGAAGTTGAGAGTATATGAATTTGTGTATTATTGGAATGCATGTATTACAAATTGACAAGAGATGGATGATGGTAAGAATGGTATTTGTGATTGTCAAGGAAAAAATAATTCTAACTTAAATGGTTACATAACCTTGCAATTGTTATTATATATTCATTTAAGGAGGGGAGTAGGTCAAGTATATTAAAAAATAGGGATAAGAGTAGAACAATCACCTATAAAAATAAAAGAAGAGAATCTCCTCTTTTGTAGAGATTTTGAAATGAATGATTCTAGTCATTTGAAATTCTAAAACTTCCTTCAAATGCACGCATTCTGAACAATTTTATATAAAAAAAAGAAGATAAATTATACACACTTTCATATAATCACTCATTTCATAATTTCCACATGATCCTTTATTGGGACAAAAGACCGACATTTTATTTTGGAGACACTTTGAGAGATATTTTTGGGCTTTGGCCTTGTTTTGATAACTCTAGATGAATATCATTATTCTCATAGATTCTTTCTCGACGAATTCAATGGGCTTCCTTTCCTTTGCTCGCAAAAATACAAGCCTCGGAGGCTTCAACAAGGGTTCATGTAAAGGCATAACCAAGGGATTTTAAGAATTATTATAATTGTATTAAAAATAATGAGTTGTTTTTTGGATTAAAAGGAACTGATGATAGAGCCTTTTTAGCTTTATGTTACAACAAAAAAAAGTTTTGTCATCAAATAGGCGAGCAGATCGTAAATGATTGTTTAGTAGGATATATTGAAAGAAATTTATTGAACATTTGTAGACAGTGAATTTATTTTATAATTATTTTCAAAACATGATAATACATCGTGGACTTTTTTTTACCTTGTACCTCAATACCCATATTTCCCCGCGCCAACCACTGATCATGTTGGGTAATATCCGCAGGTAGGGATTGCGGTAGTTGTAGTGGCGGAGCCACGTTTTGAGGAGAGGGGTCCTAGGATGATCATTCGAATTAAGGACCTCATACTCTTGTCAATGTTAGCTCATCTAATGATACTAGTCAGCTCAAAGTTCATTAGATACACAAACTTTAGAGTTTGAAAATTTTTAAGGACCCCGATCAATTCAAAGTCTGGCTACGCCACTAGGTAGGTCGACTCGTTCTTATAAATTATTTGAAGAAAATATTTATTTTTTAGTGATGAAACAAAAGGAGATAAAGCTAGACTAATTGATTCCAATTAGTAGAAAGATAAAGTCTTGCACATATTTAAAGTATCATTGTGCGAAAATATAAGTTAAGATAAGTCGAAATAAGAGAAATAGTGATACAAATTGAGATAACACGGATAAAAAACAGAACGAGACAAAACGAGACAAGCCAAAAATAGTACTATGTGCTATCCCACACTACTGTGGATCAGTTCAAATAATACACATCAGAAACAAGTTCAAATTGCAATTACTACCTTCTTAACCATTGTGATTGTGGATGTCAACTATCCAAGGAGGCTTTTCATGGAGAATGGACAAGGCTAGGGCTCTATGGGAGTTCATGGGTATGATGGGCCTTTTTGACGAAGTTCAAATTTACCTGGATCAAGCCTTTTGTGTCAGCTAAGTAGGATGATCCATTGGCCTCGATTGTGTCTGTTCCACTTATCAGATGAAAGCTCTCAAATCATGAGAAATTTTATAATGCTATATAGTATTAGTGCTATAGGTTTTTGTCTTTATGGTACAACTTAAAATTGTACATTTACGTTATGGTACAACTTCAGATTGTACCTATACTTTTTGTACAAATTCTTTTATAGTACAACTTGAACTTGTACCTTTATGTGATGATACAACTTCAAATTGTAAAGTTATATCATAACATAATGGTACAAATTGCTTTATGGTACAACCTAAACTTATACATTTAATGTTATGGTACAACTTTAAGTTGTACATTAAAGCACCAATGCTATATAGCATTGATAGCATCGTATTTGCACGTGTTTTCACTCTGGGTTCCTGCCCATTTTGGCTCGAATTGATTGTTCCTTGGCCTATTTTACGCTAGGTTGTGTTCCTTTGTCACATTTCAGGTCCTAGCACATAAAGTGAAGCATAGGCGCAAGTTTCAAGTCAATCAGAGAAATTGGCGATTCGGGAGAAGAAACTCTGGCATGACCTGAAGAAGAATGGATTTCTACCTCACTTTATGGACAAAGAATCGTGCAAGTTTGACATGAAAAGAAAGAGGACAAGACTACGAGCGTCTGGGATCAAACGGCGACTGATTCGGAGTCCGGACGAGGGAGAAACGAAGCATTGAATATAGGGGAACAGGTTCGGCAGTAAAAACACGGGCAGGAGGCCTTCAAAACACGGCCGTGTTCTGTGACCGTGCTTTTACTGCCGAGAGCAAATCCGAGTTTGGCAGACATGAGCTGATTACACGGGCAGGGCTGAGACAAAGCACGGGCGTGTTTTCACCAAAGCACGGCCGTGTTCTCACTAAAGCACGGCCGTGTTTTCACCAACATGTGGCCGTGTAATTAACCCTGGCCAAAGCACGGGCGGGCTGAGGCAGAACACGGCCGTGCCCTCGACCGTGTTTTGCCAGTGACGCCCTTTTAGGCAGATTTTCAGCCAAAGAGAAGAGAATTCGATTTTCTGGGCAAAAACAGAGTTTTAGAGAGAGAAAGAGCGAAGAACAAACCCTAGGAGCTATCTTGGAGTGGATTTCTCATCATTGAAGCCCAGATTGCGTCCCTAGGAGTGAAGATTGACATCCCAGAGCAGATTTTCCTCATCTTTATGAGTATGACTACTCTGATTTCTGTTTTCTCTTCTCTCTCTATGGAGTAGAACCTCTCTCTCACTTGGGTATGAAGAACCCTAGTTCCTGATGTTAGGGTTTTGATTGTAATGACTTGGGATGATATTATTGTTTGATTTTAATCGAATGACGCATGTTTCATGAATTGATTTGAGTCTGATCAGCTTGTTTCAATTTCTGCTTCAACCTGAGATAGATAGAATCTGATTAGGTTGTTAGAGCTTCTTCATTCGATAGTAGGAGATTGGCTATACGAGAGTTAGCCAGTTTACTGCTTTGTACTGGTGTTCTTAACGCCAGTAGTGGAGTT